CATATCCCACATTAATGCAATCACTCAAAAAATTTTCACCTGAAAGCATCAGAGCTATTGCTCGAAACCCAAATATTGACCTACAATCAATTGGAATATATTCAAAATCCGATATCCAACATCACATTAGAACACAACAATTCCAAGAATTATTAACACAAATGGACACTATACAAAGACAATCAATTGACCAAAACTTACGCAAACTTGCCGAAACCGCAGGATTTGCAGATATTTATACACAAGACTATAGCGGATATTTTAAAGACATTAAAGACTATATATATCTAAACGGTGAAAAATATAGACCACAAGATATTTCACCTATAAATATTTTTAGCTTTGTTACACTAAAAAATGAAATTCTCGATTTTCTAGGATGGCCCTACTACATCTTAGAAAAATTAACTATTTTATACGCAATGTTTAATTTTATAGGATTTCTTTTTTCGCTTTTAAAAGGAATCTATAATACATGCGCTATACACACACAAGTAAATAGACAAGCAAGTGTAGCACGCATACTATTTGCAGGATTTTTTGGAATTTTTTCATCATCAATAAACAAAATTCTTTTAGACGCACAAATAAAAGAATACAACACAAAAATAGCAACAAGACAGAACACATACGACGAAGAACATAACAATGTAGACATAACGCCTACAGCACCACAGTTACCACCCCTACCACATAACCATCCACTATCACTAGTCCCACGAAATTTTCGAAATTTAGCAATAACACATAATCCAAATTTTAGACCAACCATATCACAAAGTCCCATTCAACATATAATGACACACCATCCACTAGATGAAAATACATATGAACAAATTATAGAACAACCCCATACCACCGCTTTTCAGTCTCAAAATAATAATTTTTTTAGCCCACGATGAGCCGACAACGTGGATCCCTACACCGCTCAAATTCCCACCCGACCAACCTCAACACTCCAATTACAATAATTCCACTTTTTGCTTTCCCGCCACCCGATTTCCCAACCAATAATGTAACATCAGGCATGAATTCAGACACTAATTCACATATCTCAGTTTTATACTCCATCTCACAACTCAATAACCCAGATATTGAAACCCCTGATGAATTTGCAGACTCCATCCAATAATTTTCAAACCAACTCCCCAGTTTTTTCAAAACCCCCTTTTCAACCAATCCCGCCAAATAACCCACTCCCATCGATTTCTACACCCTCTTATGCTTCACAAGTCACCCCAACCTACTCTTCATTTCATTCAGACCGATCATCCAATTCTCCAGATACTCCCCAAATCTCCCAGGAACTAGATAATTTTATCAACCTACAACAACAACCCTTCCACCTTGAACATTCCACTATAAATCAGATTTCATCCACAATAGAATCATCAAACCCACCTACCCCTACACCCTCTTCAGCTTATACCGCATCATTAGCACCATCATCCACATCCACCGAATCATCAAATAGCACTAATAGAGCTTATCGCACTTTTAAAAGAAAATTCCCGAACCATCCATTTCCAACAAAACCAGGAACAGCCCGTGAATATATTAATCATCCAAATCACACTAACACGAAAGATTTTTTAGCCATCACCCTACCTTCATTTCCACAGTATACTTTGAACACCCCTAACGACACTAACAACACACGCAGTTTTGTAGATGAACACGTTTTAATGCCTACACTTCAATGGACATCATATTATCATTTTACTAACCCCCTTTGCCTACCTTTATCTAATACTCACATCGATATAGAAAGACATAAAGATATGCTATATCGACTCACCACACCATTAAGACACACACAATTTACTTATATAGGATATAAAAAATCACTAAAAACATACACTGCACCCCGAGCTAACGAATTTACGCTAGAATATTACGATCATAATATCATCCGATCTAACCAAGACCAATTTTTAGATGACGACCGCTTCGCTAACCCACAACTAACAGAAAAATTTTTCATCAAAACACCATATGTATTTACACTCAATATATTTGATCGAAAATTTGAATACATCATCTCTGAAGCACTAACTGACATGCAAGCTTATGAAAGTTTTAAAGAAAAATTTCAATTATTTTCACTAACCTTCCACTTCCTTGCACCACATGAACGCGATTTGCACTGCTCACACGACATTATGTTACGCACTAAACAAACCCACACATATACATATTATCGCTTCATACAAAATCATTTTGATCTACACACTCCATCAAGACAACCACAACACCGTTTTCAATTTATTAACTCTAAGTACACTTCACCATTTTTTCTTAACTTCACATATTGCATCAAAGATACTAACCTTCACGGTATTCTTCGCAATTATGATCCCATAACCCAAATGTATATTTTTTGTCCCATCACAAAGACCTTCAACGCAGAAGAATCCAGACCCTTCCTTATCCCACATGAATTTGTTCAACCTATAGAAATCCCCATATTAGAATTCATCCACAACACTAAATATAACCACAAATTATATAATCTCATCCAAAACACACCTTATGATTTTGCAGTTGGCACTGAAGAACTAAAAACCATTAAAGCACTTCAATTGCTTTGGCCACTGCTTCAAACTAAAAACATCATTCGCATACTAGCAAAGTTACTAACAAATTCCGACATAATCCACGACATCTTCCCCCACGGTTTGTTTCCCCGACGACTAACAGGTAAGTATAAATTCTCATATTCTTAACTAATAGTTTTAAAATAAAACACTAACCATTCTTTATCCATGTTTTATTTAGATTTTTAGTCTTCATCTCACGATCATCTGCAAAATACACAAAAGAAAAATAAAAAATAGAAAACTTCTTCAAATTGTTCAAAACTCTAATACTCTTTTGCACCAGCTAAATTAAATAAAGTTCATACCAATGTAGTAATTTAATTTATAAATTATTTCCCTAAAAGCAGTAATTCTAATAATGATGGAAATTTATAACTTAATTTTTCCCCAAAACTAGCAGTAAAATTGAAATTCTATGTAGTAAATTGATAAGACGAAAATGCAGTACTAACCTTTTGATATTTCCATTCACTCGCACAAGAATTCTATCCATACTCGCACAGCTCGCCCACGAAGAATTGTTTAAATAATGAATTTCAGTTTCAAGCTTTCACACTCAACATTTCTAACACACGATAACACGTTTCAAACTTTCCTTTAACCCGGTTGGAAAGGAATTATATACTAAACAAAACTAACCAACGCAGCTTACTAAACACCACAACACATAGAATAACAGCATGACTAAGAAAAGGAAACCAACGGTACCCAAACCGGATTAACCCAGTTTAAAACTGGATAATTTATTCTTTTGAAGACTATTATAAAGTCTAAGAAAGAAATAATAAAACACAAAAAAGTCGAAAGACAAACCCATACCAAAAACAATTTGATTTTTGAAAAAAGGACACAACCAACAAAACATAAGAAAAACCACAATAAATCCAACATAAAACGTTATCACACAACAGGACCTCTCACAGAAACCGCACGAAATCATACTCCCACTCCTGGCCTAACCCACCAGAGAGGACGTCCTGAGCATGCTCTATAGCCGGCCTAACCCACCGCGCTACATCCACGCTTTGTGACCACACTTCTATTTTTAATAAGAGGTACTCAAGGGTGAGTAACTCTTCAAAATAACCGAACTGAAACAAAAAGCTTTTGTGAAAACAACTAACCAAAATCATAATTAAAACACCAAACTAATAAAAGTTTTATAAAATGTAAATTATACCTTGCAGTATATAGATCAGCATACAACACCAAAGACGAACATCCAAAGACAAAATGACCCCACTACACTCGAAAAAGAATGGCCAACCACAATCAATATGCCGCCCACAATCACAACTCAAAGGATTTAGAGTACGACTTGACTTCGCAGAAAAGGACTTCATTGAACTAGACCAATGACCACCTCGATGTTCAAGTATACGTACAGATCCGAGTAACCAGGCATCCCCTCCACGCACAATCTCCACGCCATTCCCAGACAAGGTCAACCCAAAAGAAGTTCTCTACATGGAACAGAAAAACCTGACATAGCCAACCATTCTGAAATCAGATGTGAGTTTGTTGCGAAAACCCAGTCGTTGTCATGAGAAGACACAGCGATTGAACCTGGAACTTCTCTAACACGAAAACCCAGAAGAATTATGATGTTCCCCAAATACCAACGTCCATCATCCATCCTTTGAATTACAGAAAGACTATTCTAAAAAACTCTGTAAAACCCGGATGGGTGGAACCTGATCTAAACTACATTTTATGATTGAATAAATTAGATATTTCACCATTGTAAAGTATTTAATATTAACCAATCATGATCCATCTAACTAACAACCCACTTATTTGTAAGTGCTGAAATTACTTGTAATTTCAGCACCAGAGAGATTTGAATTTAACTTAGGAATTAGTTGACTCTCCAAGAGAACTTCAGCAGCCGCAATAAACCAGTATACCCTAGATCTATTGAGCCTAGCAGAGACTAGTTAAACAACCTGAGACTAGATAGTATAAGAGTAAGATTAGGACCGGTATTAGACTAAGAAGTTGCACGAATCTATCCGGCCGAAAATAAGATAGCGTGACGAGCAGACGGTGTACCCTATCCGAAATTACTCTATGAGTTAACCACCTCGGTCATAACTCACAAGAATAGTTTAAACCGTAGGCATAATTTTTTTCGAGTAATTAAAATCCATGGGTACACGCCGCGTTTCGCTCTGTTTCAATCCAGCGGCGGCGTGAGAAAAAAATTACCGGCGGCGGCGTGACACACAATTCTGATCCTGACCTCAGCTTAACTTCACATCAGTAAACATACATCTTCTTAAATTTTGAATCATAAAAAGAAATTCAGAAGAGGCTAGGAACTTAACCTAACTACAACCTGTAAGTTTTAGGCGCACTTAATTTCTGTTTTGTTAGTAATGTTTTTTTGTTTTGTTTCAGCTGAGACGTTGATCCCTGGGACAAAGTACACATACCAACTTGTTAACTTCGATCCTTTTGCCGAGATGGAGTTCTCTCTCGATCCAATCGTTCTATGCACAAGTTAGTTATTGGGTGGGGGGCATCACCGTGGTCGTAAGGACAGAATAAAAGCGACCCCTTGCAAAAACGATCCCTTGCCAAAGCGACCCCTTGCAAAAACGACCCCTTGCAAAAACGATCCCTTGCAAAATGAAAAGCGGCCCCGAATTAAAAGACCGAATGACAAAAAGTTATACTAGCCCGCCGTCTGAACTGATCTTTCAACAGCCTGAACAAGAGCGTGACAGTTAAATCATTTTTGGACAGTTAAATAAAACTGATTGGTTTGAAGTTTTCAGCAAATCGGCTAGTTTCAATCCGAACTAGACACCCCGCCCCTTGCCATACTTTACCCGATATCAGTTTAAGTATGGGCGTTGAATGGGAACTGCTTTATTTTCAATTACTAATTATGCCACTGAAAAAAAATGCCTTACAATTGAAACTTTTTCTATCAAGGGAGAGGAGACGAACAAAGAACCGCTATCCGCAAAGAGCTAAACAACCGGATCTCTCCATGAAAAGGTCCTCCTCCTAAACAGCCACCAAATTATATTCCCTCAATTTTACTGAAGTTTTGGATTTTTTTTTGTTTCGGCCATTTCGACTTTTTTTATGTGTAGCAATAACGGGAAAGAGCTAAGCAGCTCTTATGTTGCTGTCTCATTTGACCTTAAGCTTAAATAGTTCTAACTTGCAGATCCTGCCGTGCCCACTGCGACTCAGTTCGAGTACAAGACTGTGAATTCCACTGTAGTCGAGTTGTCCTGGAATGCACCTAATCAGGGTTCAGTGACTTATTACGAGTTCACGCGCAAAACAGCATCAAACAACGCTACTGATGACACGTCGCAGACCAACGATACCTTCATTTTTTCCAGGTGAAAAACGTTGAAATATACTTTAGCGCTGCCCTTTCAGGTGCATTGTTGCTAAAGGCTTTCATCTGTAAAAGCGAGTTTTGTTTCAAAATAGAAATTTCTCTGCAAAGCAGTTTTCGAAAAATTGTGTTTATGTACTAGTGAGTGTTTCTTACGTTGGTGTGGCTCTGTTGTCTCTATCAACTCGGATTAGCTAACTGTGAAGCGTTTTGTTCCTCTGAACAAGTTTTCTTCTCTTTTTCGTCTGCTTTGTGATATTTTATACTTCCGCCGTTGCAATTGTCTGGTGTATCTACTAACTACTACTACGGCGTTTATTGTACGTTTTCCCGTTGTGACCGTGTTGAAAATTCCCTGTCATAAATTGATCTCGGCTTTGTTTGAAGCTTGAAGCTTCCTTTGATGCTTAGAACGTTTGATTTTGTTCTGTTATGGTCATTTTGTTTTCATCGAGTCACTCTTTGATACTATGCGTCGCAATTTTAAGACCGTCCTGATTAAATACTCTTGCTTTGAATTCTAACACTTAATCGTAGCTTAACACTTAATCTACTTAAGTTAACTTGTCTGGCATATGATTTTTGAAAATTAAGAGTTATTGTGGCACTAGTAACGAGCCTTGTGGGACTCCACTGGTTACAACCCTTTAACTCGATTCACTTTTTCTTTTTTTGACGAAGTGCTGTCTATCAGTTAACTATGACATATTAAGTTTCAGTAGTCTGCCTCCAACTCCAGAAGGTTCAAATTATCGTGTAAGGATGTCATGTGGGAATTTTAGAAGACCTTTGCAAATTCAATTAATAACACTGATAAGTGTAATAATGTTCCGATTTTCGAAACAAAAGTTACGGAATATTTGTGCTCGGGGTGGGTTTTTTCTTCTTCAGACAAATTTTGAAATTTTAACTAGCCATTTCTGACGGAATTTTTGAATATCATTCAAAAGGTATTGTTGTCCTGAGCCTAAGTTTGAAAAAATATTTCACCTGTGATCAATTTCCGTAATGTTATGGGGGTTTAAAGATTGTCATTTTGGCCAATTTGGGACAATTAACGAGCGATCTATTTCGCGCTATTGACGTGTAAGCGGAGGTTTAATCCGTCTTAGAAATCGTTCCTAATTGGTTGGGGAAGCTTATTTGCCATAATTGATTTAATACTAGGAGCGAAATCTATCGCTTTGTACTTTATATGGCGTGTGGGGGATGATTAAAAAAAATCTCAAATTTTAAATTTTTTTTTCAATTTTTTAATACATTAAATTTTTTCAGGTTATTTTTTGCTCCATAGACTTTGAAAGGCAGTCGGAACATTCAGGGCTTCGCCCTGATACGAGCAGTCTTGTTTATTCTTTATCGTTAATTCGATATGCATTATACAGAAAGAGAAGTAGCTGTAGAGTTGCTGATCTATTGTCGAAAGCCAAGTTCATTCTTCTAAAAGTTGTTTTCGACAAGCTCATATTTTTCTTCTAACAAAAGTTTCTCGAAAACTTTTGAGCAGCAGCAAAGCAAGGTTATCTACTAATAACAGCTTACATCTGCTCTGTTACCTTCTTTGAGAATGGGTGTCGCTTGACTGATCTTCTATGAGTTTGCATACTTTGCACAAAATTGGAACATGCGAGTCAGGGATTTGCATAGCGTAGTGTCAAGTTTCCGATTTTATCATTGCCCGTTGAGTTGTTGCTTTCGAGTGCATTCATTATTGTGCTTAAATAGTTTTTCTGGACTTTAGCTGTACTAATTTGAAAGTTTACTTGTAAAGTCGGCATTTTCAGATCTGGGATTCTGAACACGTTGACAAAGTAATCGTTAAACTTTGCGCCTTTTCTTTGTTATTTTTTGATCCTTTTCCCATGTATTTGACGACTGATGGTAAATTTTGGTGTTTTCCGGCTACGCTTCAAGTAATTCGATTTTCTTATTTTTTTGAAAAGGTTCTTGAGTTGTTTGATATTCCCGCATCCAAGTTTAGGCGTAAGTAATCGATTATAACGGATTATTATGATGATTTTTTGACAACTATAATTGATTATAATTACCAAAAATAAGTGTTTAAAAGATTTATAATTGATTACAATCGTGATATTTTCCAAGAGATTATAATCTCTTATAATCGATTATAATTGATTATAGTTCTTACAAAAAATCCTTAGAATCAATTATAATCTCTTATTTTGCAAACATTTTGTCAATTCAAAACTATATTCGAATTATTTCTTATGAGTTATTGTTTTTGAGTCAATAAGAAAATCTCTAGAAGAGAGATCTCTTGAACACTTTGGTTCTCTGAACACAAAGTTTTACCTCGCAACAAAAGTTTCTTAGAGATCCTTTCATACTAGTGGAAAGATTCTCGCGGTAGATGAAAAATAAATGTTCCGAATCAATCATGAAACTAAATCAATTTGCTGATATGTTTGGGTCGTTAAAAAGCTTAAAATATGTATCACAAAACAACTCTAATGGGGAAGAAATGAAAAAAAAAACCTTAAAAATTTGAATTGATTGGAAAACTTTAAAAACCTTTTCCTCATTTTTCATAGGAACCAACGTCTACAAAAAGCATAAAGTATAAGCAGTTTAGATGCAACTTCGAAGACAAAATGAACAAACAAAAGGGATTAGAATCAATTATAATCGATTAAAATGGATTTTTGTGCAAAACTAACGAATTAGAAATTTGAATAAAATTAATGGATTATAATCAACTATAATTGACTATAATTGTATCGAAAAATGGACGAATAAATATTCGATTATAATCGATTATAATGGATTGTAATGAATTATAATTTGATATTAAAAAGAGAGATTATGATCGATTAATAATTGATTAAAATCGATTGTTTCTCAATTATAGTAAGACTGGTACTAAAATCGTAATATGGCCGATTATTAACGCTTGATATTGGATGCGGGTTGTAGAATGTCGTAATTGAAATTTTAGAAATCATGTAAGGAGTCAGAGCATTTTTCGGTGTTTATATAAAACCATTATACTTATTAATCTTATTCTTTGGTTGGATTTTGCGTTAAGATTTGGCTTCTATATACAAATTTTTCAAGGTGGTTATCATAATTTGTTCAGCTTGAAATGAAGCATAGTTGAAATTCGATGTTCATTCCATTCAAGTGCATAATGGCTCTACATTTTGAATTATTTTAAAATAACGTTTTTTAAAAAATTCTGACGTTTAAAACATGGATAATTGCTGTTTTTTTCTGGCCTTTTTTCCAAAATTTGGTTTGTAATTGGATTTGGTGAGTGCTATGAAAGTTGATTTTTGTTTTTACCAACTGTGTGAAATCATGTCAAGAGGGATCAAGTGAACAGATTTGAATTCGACGTTTGAACAATTTGCAGACAAAATAATGTTAAAAGTTAACAAGACTGCTCGTATCAGGGCGAAGCCCTGAATGTTCCGACTGCCTTTTAAGGTTTATTGAGCAGCAGTAATACATAAAAAAAATTAAATGAAATAAAATAAAATGAAATTTTTTTTTCTATAATTTGAATTTTTTTAATGAAAATCGTCCCCCCACACGCCATATAAAATACAAAAAGATAGATTTCTTTCCTTGTAACAAATCAATTATGGCAAATAAGCTTCGTTCAACCAATTTGGAACGATTTATAAGACGGATTAAATCTCTCTTACGCGTTAATAGCGCGAAATATATCGCGCGTTAATTGTCCCAAATTGGTCAAAATGGCAATCTTTAAACTCTCATAACTTTACGAAAAATGATCACAGGTAAAATATCTTTTCCAATTTAAGCTCAGGACAACAATACCTTTTGAATGATAAAAAAAATTCCGTCAAAAATGGCTAGTTAAAAAGTCGAAATTTGTCTGAAGAAAAAAAAACCCACCCCGAGCACAAATATTCCGTTACTTTCGTATCGAAAGTCGGAACAACAAGCGGATTGACAAACTGGAGAGTACCCCTGTGTTTTTTGTTTTCTGCAAAAATTGTATGGAAGAATTTTCTGCCACTTTCTGGAACAGAACGTCAGACTTGAGCAAGCGGTATATAATTGATCTTTCTGTCCTGATTGGCTTTGAAAAAGTAAAAGTTAAGATCAAATTGGTCTGAAATACTCGTTTTGAACTTTCACTTCATATTTTCTTAAATTGATTTCAAGTGAAAGACGAAATATAGTTTTATTTAAAAAATTAAACTATGATTTGAAAACTATGGTTTGGTTTGGTTTCTTTGCTTTGTATTAGTTTAGGAGTACACAGCGTTAAAAATCGAAAAAAGTTTTCCGTAAAGAAAACTCTTGCTTTTAGTTTATCTAAGTTTTTCTCACGGTTTTTTTTTTGAACGATACCATCGAAAGAACGTTTTCAATAACCTCGAATTTTCAGTACGTCTGACAATGAAACAAAAAATGTTTTTTTTTTATTTTCGTAAATAGGTGAAAAGTTCTGAATTATATAAAACTATGGTATTGAAAAATAAAAATGTCAAAGTTGTTTTAAATGTCTTAAAATTTGTCTGAAAATAGTAACCGTGAGGGCAAATTTGTGTGCTACTTGCCTGGCAGTTGCCTTTAACATACTATTACGCTTGTGAGTTATGTATGTTGTCTATAACTCATAGAGTAATTTCGGATAGGGTACACCGTCTGCTCGTCACGCTATCTTATTTTCGGCCGGATAGATTCGTGCAACTTCTTAGTCTAATACCGATCCTAATCTTACTCTTATACTATCTAGTCTCAGGTTGTTTAACTAGTCTCTGCTAGGCTCAATAGATCTAGGGTATACTGGTTTATTGCGGCAGCTGAAGTGCTCGGGAGAGTCCAACTATTTTCTAAGTTAAATTCAAATCTCTCTGGTGCTGAAATTACAAGTAACTTCAGCACTTACAAATAAGTGGGTTGTTAGTTAGATGGGTCATGATTGGTTAATATTAAATACTTTACATTGGTAAAATATCTAATTTATCCAATCATAAAATGTAGTTTAGATCAGGTTCCACCCAT